GTTCTGTCCTCCGTCTCGTATGATAGAAGAAGGAAGCTTGCCCTCTGCAGGTTGTCCCTTAACTGCTCATGTGGGTGCATGTACCCACACATATACATGCATACACACATGTATGCACGCAAAAATTGTGAAAGTGTGGACTGCTGTGTGTCTTGATAACAGATCTTTCCAAATGGAATAGGGCTCTCATAGGAGACGTGTTTGCCTCACTCTTCCATATAGAGGTGCAAATCATGTAGAATTCAGTGCTAGTTTCTTAGCAGACCTTGAATGATGCTTAATAAGAAGTAATAAAATCTGTTGCCATTCGTTTAGTATTGTCCTGGAGATTGCTTATTGTTTTACTGTTAATTAGAGTTACCAGCATGTCAGTGAGCCAGACTACATCAGTTATAGTGCCTTCTTGTTTGAGAGTCTGTTCCTGGGAAGCCAGACTATACTGAGAAGGAGCCAAGAGTCTGAGGACTTTTATCTAAGGTGTGCAAATTGTACTGAAGCAGGGTTCACTTGTCGCCATTCCAGGCTACCTTGAGCATTTCTGTAAGAGAAGAGCTATGATCAGACCAAGTGTGTGTGCTCTTCCAAGTGCAGTAAAAATAAAAAATAAAAAAGCTCCTTGAACACCGAAGAATACCTACAAGTCAAACCACTGAATCAGGGAATAAAGACCTCCTTCCCCTTCATAAATACTTAGGGGGAGAGTAGTAATTCAGAGAAAAATAATAATCAATGAATAATACAATATAAAAATCATGTGCTCTAAAATAAGGTTTCCTTCCTTCATTTTCCTTCTCAAGAGCATGCACTCTTATTAGCTTATTCTCTGTAGAAAAAAAAAAAGTTATACTGTTTCCTTTTTTATGGTTGTTTTTTTTTGTTTTTTGTTTTTTTGTTTTTTGTTTTTTTTTTTGAGACAGGATGTTATATAGCCCAGACTGACTATACTTACTATACAGGTGAGGATGACTTTACACTCCTGATCCCCCACCTCCTTCCAAACGCTGACTCTACAAGTATGCCCCTCAGTTTTTGGCTTATCATTGTGTTTGTTACAAACGCAGACATTTTTCATATTGTTTTGTTCCATGTTTTTTTATTCAGCACAGTTTAGGGTTGCCACTAAATCAGAACAATACTGAGTTATGGAAGAGAATTTCATTTTAGTGGTTTCTAAAATTATTTTAGTTGTTCCTTTTTGATCCTGAAAAAAAAAGTAAGTTCATAGAACTCCTAATCTGAATTACATATTTGCTTGCTTACTCTCTCTCTCTCTCTCTCTCTTTCTTTTTCTTTCCTTTTCTTTCTTTTTTTTTTTTTTTCCTGGCAGAGATCAAATCCCAAAGCCTGTGCATGCTTGGCAGGCTATCTCCATGAAGCTGCAGTACCCTAACTTTTGAACTGTCTCTACATGCCAAGTCTCTAGGTGTTTGTCATGATGCAGCCCAGCTATGCTTCCTGTAATGTATACTCAGAGTCTGTCCTCATTAGCAGTGACCCCAGAGAACCCTGGAAATGCCTGAGCCTGGATTAGACTGGTTGTTCCTCATGTATGCATCAAGTCCTTTCTTGTCCTCTGTGGTCTTTAGAAACTGTTGAGCCTCCTAATCAACATGACGACCATTCTGGCTTCTTGTCTCCCTATCTCCATGTGGACTTGAATCAGGATGACTGTACCCAGTTAGATACGTTGCCTGTGGACATGATGGTCAGTGTTTGGACACGTCTGCATCACAGTACTGTCTCAGTCATCATATGGCCTTCACCTAGCCCATTTATTAATCGGCTCCACATTCGGAGGACTGCCAATTACTGCATGTTCTCCAGTGTTAGCTACCAGATGCGAAGGCTAGTCCATTTGGAAGAATGTTTTGTACAAATCATATTTTGAGTGGTTAAATTTTGTTAATTTGAAATAGTACCAAGAGACCAATACATTAGGGTGGAAAATATATCCACTTAGTTGATACTTTAAAAAGTTGGGTGCCCCGAATAATTCTCTAGTGAGCTACCCCCCTCCCCCCGTTTTAAAGTTCTAACACAAAAATACCAATGTGCTTGCACAGAGAGAGCATGGACAGCAAAAATAGATTTCCTTTAATAGTACTTTCACATTTCCACAATATCTTACACATGCACAACAAATACAAGACACTAGGAGACTCTGTTTCTCAAGCCTGCTGGGAAGGGTGTGATTCTGGTCAGGGTTTCTAGCCCTTCTGGAGATCCTTCTCCTTTTAGTTTTACAGTCTTGCTACTGCCAGCAGAGGGAGTTGTTGACAAAGTCAAATGGAGACTTTGGAAGACCAAGGATAGGAAGTGGTGCTGATGTGTGGAACATGGGTGTCACCTGGTGGGTGACTTTTCACAGTACAGCTCCCAGCCCTCCCCTAAAACACTGCCTTCTGTTTCCCCTTACACTGGCGCTTTCTTCTGTCCAGCTTCGTATATTGTGCCGTCATTCTATTAGCATGCTATTGTTCGTAATTTCTCCAGAAACTCGCTTTGTGTTGTAGTAAGCAATCATTGGCATGGTATTTATTAATGGGGCTAGTTTTCATATAAAGGAAATGCATTTTGAATGCTAATACTTGTGTTTGGTTTGCTTTTATAATGAAGCCATAAAGGTTTGCTTAGTCTATTCTTCCGGCTTACTGAAGAATAACAAGCAGCAGAGAAGAGGTGCTGGCTTGTCCTCACATCTGAGCTAATGTTGTTCATATTGTCTTATTAGAACACCTGGAGAGTGCGAGCTCTAACTCAGGTATACCAGCTGCACAGAGAGGTGAGTTTGCCTACCTAAGCACACAGTCACTGAGCTGTGAGGTTGTCAGCAGAGACAGTTACAGGCATAGGCACACACTGACAGTGGAAGAGACCTCACATATGCTTTATTGTATTTAGATGTTTAAGGTTTTAAAGTATTTACTTTGTTATTACTATTTTTAAGTTCTTAAGAGTTTTCTGAGTTTGTAAAGTTTTAGTTCTTTAACCTCTACAAACAGTAGCAATGTAAAAGTTACTGTTGGCAGAAGGGGTGCTAGCTGCTCCCCTCCTTCTTGTCAGAGGCCCTGCTACCAGACATCAGACATGGAGCCAGAGCATAGAGGACTGTGACCCTTTGGTTTTCCTGCTGTTTTCAGAGCTGGGTTCCTGATGGTGGAAAGAAGACATTTTAGTAAGAGATAGGTCAGCTAGAGGGGTGGTGGGGTTTTTTTTCTTTCTTTCTTTTTTTGTTGTTGTTTTTTTGTTTTTTCCCCTTTAAGCATTTTTCAACACTTATCATTTAGTTTTGATTTTCATCTAAAAGTAGGGAAGAGGGTTGCTCATGATGGGTTGATTATAAATTGGATTATAAGTTAAAAGCAAATGGAAGCAAGTGAACTCTTACGTGAGGAGAGTGGGAGCAAGTAAGCAGACTGAGTCCTGCCCACGCATCAGCTGGAGCACATGGCCCTTGAGACGGTGCAGTCATGCACCCAGTGCTCCGCAGCTGGTGCTGGGTTTGGAGGCTTGGAGGTGTAAAGCTGGACTGTCCACCACCTCTCCTGTCTGATCTGAAAAGGTCACTCTGTCTCTAAGCTACAGTGAAGTTAAGTTACGTCGTCAGAGGAGCATTATGGCGAGTAAGACACGTCATCCATATTTTTTCTTTGTGTTTTCTTTTGTTTTCTGTCTGTGTTTTCAGCAGCGTCAGCTGATTACAGTTCCTTTGCAGACAGATGCAGCAGCTGGATAGAGCTCATTAAACTGAAAGCTCAGACCATAAGGCGCGGATCAATTAAGACAAGTAGGCGGACGTTTCTACCACATTCTGATGACCTGAGAAGCATATCCCTGATTTCCCAGTGGTGAAAGCTAGACCTCACTGCCTAGTAACAACATTGCCAGTCAGTCATGTATTTGAGTGTGGAGGCTTCAGGTGCTCGGTCATGTGTGAAGAGTCATTACAGAGCCTTTTGGTGGTTACTTTTAGCTGTAGAAATGTCTTTAAATCTTACTTTTTGTGAACATAGATGGATGTATATCCCACCTCTGTCTAGGAGGACTTGGCCAGCTTTCTTGTTGAAGAGACACTCTTCCGAGACCCAGGGAACTGCTGACTGCATGGCTGTCAGCTTCCAAAGTCTGAGGACAGCAATCAAGCATGTCTACAGAGAAAGCAGACAGCTTCTCTTCCTGCTAAACTTGTGGGAGATGTTTTTATAGCCTGTGTTTTGGCAGATTTTGAGGAAACAATATTTGAGTGAGTTTATATTAAAAGGAAAAGAACTATATTGCAGAGGGAAGAATACAGGGAATTTATCAGAATCCTGTTTTCAATCCGAAGAGGTGCTAAGTTAGTAAGTGGGTGGCCTTGGTTTCCTCCTGTGGAGCCAGGGGTGATGGTGACCGTGTGGCTGCAGTGAGGTTAGAAGCAGCAAGTTCGTGAGACTGCTGACTGCAGTTACTCCTAAGCGGTGGCGACTGCTCCACCCGCTGCTTCCCAAAACATCTTTAGACGGCCAGGACCAGGTGTTAAAGGCTTAAGTTACGTGGATGTTCAATCAAAACATTTTGGGAAGGAAATACAGGAATGTATTACACCTAGTGTTGCCTAGGCTGCTACAAGCCGACAGTGATGGAGTGGTCCGGAAAGGTGGCACCTGTACAGGGAACATAACAACTTTCCCACTGTCCTTGGATAATTCGTTCCTACAGCAGCTACTGTACTGCTCTGGCGCTTTCCTCTGTGCACTGTGTAACCGTCACTGTGTGTCCGCTGCACTGCATCAACATTTTCCTTTACAGGAATGCCATCTCCTTCCCAAGACTTCCATTCCAGCATCTTCTCATGTCTCTCTCTCTCAGTTGCATGTGCTGCATGATAATTTCTCTTCTTTCATGACATGGCTTAGTCTCACAGACAGCTGAATGTTGTCACCACTTGTTTGGAAGCCTTAGGGGATTATCTAGTTTCCAGTGTCTGTTCTTAATGTGTCCTTATCTTTCTCCAATTTTAGCTGTAACAGTTGAGAAAGCAAGTCCCGTGGGTGATGGAAATTTCCGGAATCGCTCTGTGCCACCTTGTGCAAGTTCCACAGTTGGGGTTGTTAAGATGACGCCTCTTTCTTTTATTCCTGGAGCAAAGATAACTAAATATCTCGGCATCATTAACATGTTTTTTATTAGAGAAACTACTTCTCTCCGTGAGGTAACTTTGTAAAATTCTTCCTGACATCTTTTTTTCTTGAAAGCATTAGTAATAAAACCAAGTTTTAAGTTATATTTTCTTCTAAATAACACAGACATTTATATTTCACTTAACTATTAATGACCTTTCGGGGTACATTTTTGTATTATACTCACCACATTTTATACAGTAACCCATTTTACAAGAGTTGCTTCTGATTTATGCCCATTTGCTTGTAGAAGTTCTAGATGCTTATTGTAAAATTTCTCCTATATTTGATCCAAGATTTAAAACTCCCTGACAGGACTTGTGCAGTTTTCTAAGTAGCATTTTTTTGAGATATATTTAAATAGTTTTTAAGGACCCACAAGTAAGAATCCTAGATTTTTATAGTAGATGTATGGTACAAAGATAACTTTATTTTAGCTTTGTCATTTCTTCCCTCTTGAAAAAAGAAGGAGGCTGCCTGTTCCCCCTGTTGGCAGTTCACAAGACCCCTATTTCTCCAGGTTTTTGTTGCACATGGGGAATTGTTACATAGTGGTCCTGTGATTGTGATTAAATTCACAGTCAGGGCCATTCTCTCCTGCCATTAGTAACACAAGAATTTAACCTAAGAAAAAGGAAACTATATTGTATCTTCTGTTATGAATTGGGGCTGCTGAACAAATTACTTTTATTCATAGGGAAACTTGGGACCCTGTCCTCTGTTTCACTGTTATGGCAGTTTGTGTTGTGGACAGTGCATGTTTCATAAGATGACTCAGCTGTGCTTTGCTTTGTGTCACGGGAAGGCCTTGTGCTCTGGTAACAGCTGTCTCCATGCCACACTTCTGTCTTCAGCATGGTGCCTGCCTGGCACAGAGAAAGTATAGTATGTCTTTGTGTAAACAAATGAATAATGTCTGACAGGTTAATTAATTAGGTGGCTACTTCTTTTTGAGATAATCTATTTTAATTGTACTTATGTGGAGAATAAACCATGTAGTATCGCAATCTCTTAATGGAGAATTAATGTCCACTTAAGTTTGGTAAAATAGGCTTGTTTCAAAACTGGCATGGTTTTTCTGTTGTTTTCTTTTTTAGTTATTCCTAGTAGTGTGTAGTTATACTGTTTTGAACCTTTAAGTTTTATTTTGTTGTGAGATGGGTGGTACTGTGATTTCTAGGCTGGTCTTGAACTGTAGACACACGTGTTCCTGTTTTCTTAGCCTCCTAGATAGTGGGGTTCATGCACAAGCCCTGGCCACATTTGAGTCCACATTCTCATTTCCTTACTCTTTGCTGCTGTTGCAATTTTCACTGCTGTAGTGTTGCTGCCTGGATGATCTCACTGCAGTAGAGACCTGCATTATTAGCTTAAGGTGCAGCATCCCATGTGGACATTGCCTGGTGACATCCTTCTTAGAGTCACTTGTGCTTCTTAGAACCCACCGTCTGCACATGTTTTGCTCCAGTCCCCTGGCCTCATAAGTAGAAGGCTCCTGGAGAGCGCACACAGCTGCACGTCTCCAGCGGAGGCTGAAATGGCCGATCTAGGTGCACAAGTTCAACAGAGAAAGTGACACAAGATTACTATCTGGGGGATCTTCCTAGATTTTTAGCGAGATGTGGTGGAGCTGGAGAGATTGCTTAGTGGTTAGAGAACTTCCTGCTCCTCTAGAGGACCTCCATGTTGGCTCACAGTCATCTGTAACTCCAGTCCCAGAGGAACCGCTGCCCTCTTCTGTCCTCTTTGAGCAGCAGGCATACATGTGGTGCACAGACAGATACACAGGCAAAACACATGCACATAAACTTTTTCTAAAGGATGTACTTACAAAACTAAGTTAGCTTCCAACAGTAGACTTCAAGTTCCCTTTACCCCAGTTTAAATTCAGAAATTTCCTTTTTGATCAGCCTTAACCTCCAGTAGAGTTGATAAGGAACTTAAGTTGAAAAGCATTTAAGCTATTCACTGGCTTTTAATTTGTTTGGTTTGGTTTTGCATAGAGATAGTTCCCCCACACTGCTCTTTCAATTTCATAGCAATATGTGTGGAAAGCTAATTTGTGTAGTGCTGGACTAGATTAGCATATAATGTGAGAGACAGGTACAGCGAGTACCACTTGGGGGCTGCGTGGTAGTACCCGTGGTGTGGATTCGTAGTGGAGTACGTTCCAGGCAGCACAAGGCCCTGGATTGTTTCCCAGCACCACATGTTCATAAAACACACAGAATGTGTGATACTAGCTAGTCAGCTACAGGCAAATCACAGCTTACCTGAACTCTAATGAAAGTCCTTTAAAGTCCTTACTCAGACGTGTGCTTATTAATGCAAAACAAACAAACAAACAAACAACCCTCTCACTATGAGGACAATTTAAATGATTATATTTTACATTAAGGTAATTTAGCATATATACCATGCACTTTTGACATTTTGTGTGTGTTCTTACCCTGTATGTGATACAATGGCCTTGGACATTATTTGCAGGAAGGAGGAGTCAGTGGTTTTCTCCATGCTTTCATTGCTGAAGTGTTTGCCATGGTAAGAGCGCACGTTGCCGCCCTGGGAGGCAATGCTGTCGTTTCCTACATTATGAAGCAGTGTGTCTTCATGGAGAATCCGAGCAAGAACCAGGTGAGGTGGCTGAACATCCCAGCTGGGCGGAAGTCTGAGAAGGCCCCTCTGGCCTGTCCACCTCCACTCCCTCCCAGGAGAATTGCCTTTTAGAACTCTGATTCTAGATTCTTAGAACATGCTTTCATGACTCTATGAGCCACACAGGCTCCATCACTCAGGTGCTGTGACACGTCTCGTATAACTGGTTGCCACCTTTAATTAAGCATTTCTGGGATTTCTGCCCTGAGTGACTGTTCTGCCTCTTTCTTTTTTATTATTTTATTTTCCCTCTGAGGAAAGCAGAGGCACAACTTATTCTTTTTTTTTTTATTAATTTTATTTTTTTCTTATTAGTTACATTTTGTTAACTCTGTATCCCAGCTGTATCCCACTCCCTCATTCCCTCCCAATCCTACCCTCCCTCCCTCATCTCCACCCTGCCCCTTTCCAAGTCCACTGATAGGGGAGGACCTCCTCCCCATTCATCTGACCCTGTTTTATCAGGTATCTTCAGGACTGGCTGCGAAGCCCTCCTCTGTGGCCTAACAGGACTGCTCCTCCCTTGGGGGGTGGAGAGGTCAAAGAGCCAGCCATTGAGTTCCTATTATAAATAGTCCTTGTTCCCCTTACTATGGGAAACCAATTGGTTACTGAGCTACCACGGGCTACATCCGAGCAGAGGTTCTAGGTTATATCCATACATGGTCCTTGGTTGAATGTCAGTCTCAGAAAAGACCCTGTCCTGGGATGTCTAGTTTTTCCTGTCTAATAGTGGAAAGCATTAAATGGGGACAGACTGCTTATTTATTTCTACTAAAATACTCTATAAATAGGGGATAGAAGAGGTCTTATTAGACTAAACCTTATAATAACATTCTTTTACTAATTTTAACTTAATAGCTCAAAATTTTAAAGGTTTCTTCTAAAGTTAACTAATTGGGAAAGAAACAAGTTTTCTTGAAGGCGGTAGGCCCCACTCTGCCCGACTTGGCACGCACACACACATGACAAATCATATTTTTGTGTGACACACGTTGATAAATGGATACAAGTATTTAGTGGCAGGTCTCTAGCCCAGGAAAGCACTCTAAGAACAGACACAGCACTCAGGAAGCAGTAATGCAGAGTTCACAGGAGCGACGGAGGGAGATGTGTGTCTAGGTGAGGATGGACTTTGCTACCAGCTGTAAATTCTGCTAATTATAAGTAAGGGCAGATCATTCGTGTGTTTAGTACTCCTGTCTTTTTGAAAAAAAGTTAACTTCACAGAGAGTCTGTCATAAATGTGTGAGCAGTATAAGAAGAGAGTCAATTTAAACACAACTTTAGCTTGATTTCAGAGCCATTGTTTTATCAATTTCTTGAGAAAGGTAAACATTTCAGTTCTTGTTATTTATACATTTTTGTTAGTTTGTTTTACTACACTCGTGTTAAAAAAATGTTAAAAAGATGTTAAAAAAAAAAGAGTTCATGTTCTGAAACTAGAAGGCAGCTTTCTGGTACATTTGGTGAAGGCAGGTTACAGTGAAGATCTTGTCACGCACCTTGAGGGGCCCTGATAGACAGCTGGGCAGTTGAGGAAGACACCACCGTTGATCCCTGGTCTCCACTCATGCAGGCCAGAGTGTCTGCAGGCCCTGCTTTGTGGGCCTTGTGTGTTCTTCCTTTGAGGGAACTATCCTGACCTTATTGTTGTTTTTCATATTTTTACAATGTGTATGTCCACACATGGAGTCTTTTTTTATATAATGATGTTTTAAAGTATGTTTTGAATGACTTGTACCTGACTCAAACTTCAAAAATTAAACAATAAATATAGGAATTAGAGGAAGCAGGCAGCCAGCCTGGTACCTGTAGTTTCAGGGTATCCAGGGGCACATGGGGAGACCCTGTCTCTAAAATTAAACAAGTAAATTAAATAGGAAAGTTTCTTCTTGTTCTGTGTTCCAGCCAGTCTTTTTCTTTACTACATAGAGCCCAAGTCATTAGTGCCTTTTTTTTCTTGTATCTTTCCATGACAGTTCTGCTCTAGAGAATGCACCGGACAGGAGAGGATCTTAGCTGCACACGAGCAAGTACCCATTTCACACTACTGTGCCCTGCCACACACAGGATTCTGGAGCTTGTTTTATCACTTAAGTTTTCTTGGTGACTGTCTCAGTTCAAGGCCAAAAGATGGTCTTCATTGTTCTTCAGCCACTCAGCACTCCATGGTGCTCACTCAGAATCCTCAGCTGGTCCCTGCTGATGGCAGGAGGTGGCGGCTGCTGGCTGCTTCTCAGATGTATACAGTGCTGTAAGAACTTGGACGTAGGGGGCTAACACAAGTGGGATATCCATAGAGAGGCCCCTCATTTTTGAAGTTTTTGTACAGTGACAGTTTGCCTCCATTGAGACTATTTTGCACATTCTGGTTATTTTCATTAATTTATCACATTTATGGCACTTGGCCAAATTGATAGAATTTTGTGTAATTTTCACTTCTGTTTAGTATTTCAGGCAGAAATAACTTTTATATTTTCCCTTTCTCCTTGATCGTATTTATATTATTTTTAGTATTTTCTTTTATAAACATTTTCAAGGTTTTTCCTAGGGGAAAACACAGATTAGAGTAATGACTGCAGAGTGCCTGCTTCCTCTGCTCTTTGAGAGACCGGCAGACGCTCTTCTCCACCATGTGTCTTGCTGCCCTAGTGATGGCTAGCTCTCTCCCTCTTCCCAGTGCGTGAGACATGGGCTCTTGTCCACGCATAGTCTCTTATTAATAGCAGGCTTGAATAGTTTTGTCATGCATTCCCGGACTCTCTGGATTTCTTTCCTCTGGTGGTTGACTGGCCTGTGCTGCATTTGGTTTTCTCCTGGAACCTGTGCATGGCAGGCACATGATCACCTTGGCTGCAGGCATCTGAACATCTGCTGTTTCCACAGGCCCAGTGTCTCATAAATGTCAGTGGTGATGCGGTGGTTTTTGTCCGTGAATCTGACTTGGAAGTCGTATCAACGCAGCAGCCTGCTGCCAACTGCCAGCCATCATGTACTGGAGAAGTTACAACCTGAAGACAGGAGCTCAGCTGAATGAAATTCATCTGTCTCTATTGTTTGTCATCATCCTCTCAGACCAAAACTCTCAGCGTGGGTTAGATAAATGAGGAGGGGGAGGAGGCAGTTTGGTTTATGTGGACATCTTGGAGGCTTGATAGATAATTTCTAATCTTGACATTGTAATTTAGGTTGATTTTAATAAAATTATAATTAAAAATGAAATGAGAAGATTGTCAAGAGACTAGGATAGGTAGCTTCTGTAACAGAAAACTAAGCAGGAATCCAGATTGCTAATGAGCCCACAGTTGATTTGAAAATGGAGGAAACTACTGTGTATTTTCAGAAAATTACTATGTGGATTATCTTGAAATGAGGAATTTGTTATCTGGGGGGGTAATGGGCTTCGGCCATCTTTTAAATGGAAGAATGCACAGTGTGTGTCTGCAGAGTTGCCCAACTGCTTTAAGGAGCTTCCGGAGGAGTGTCTACATCCAGGAGCAGGGGATTCCTCATAACTGGCTGTCCACACTAAGAAGGGAGGGGACCACCTCATGACTGGCTGTTGCTTCCTGTTTAATTACTAGAAGAGGCATGGCTTCAACTGGGGAGAGACCATTGTGAGATTTGTAGCTAAGTAGTGAAAATACAGTTGACCTTGGAAAAACAGGATTATTTTCTAATAATATTATTTTGCACTCTTAGCAATCTTAGGGGTTGATGAGGTACACTGTTTGGTATAGTACATGGAAATGAGACTTGAAGATGCTGTGAAGTGTTGAATGTATGTATTAATTCTTACCTATGCCAAGTACCCACTGCTAATGAAATATCAAATTCCTCCTTTGCCCAATAAAATGTCCTTATAAAATTTAGGATTTTATTCTCTCAGAACGGCAAATTACTCTAAAGATGAAGAGTCATCTTATTGTTACACAGGTGTCAATATTTTTCTGTATTTTGTTTATAATTTTATTTTTTAAATAAAAGTTTATAATCAGTATATTCCCAACTCCGCGTCTTTGATGTGACACATGCTTCTGAGTCATGACTGTCATTTCAGCTCCACACTCTCATTCCTGAAGTCAGTAGATGTCTGTTGAGCACCTGCCATGTGTACCCTGACCTTCAGAGTGTGTGTGTTTACGACACCCCTGCTGTCCTGCAGTTATGTATCCAACACCTGCTACTGAATATGTTTTAGACTACAGGGCATAGTTGTGGGTCACGAGCAAAGCCATGTAAGTTCTTGCCCGCATTGCGCTTCAGTTCAGTGGCCTGCACATGGCAGCATTGTGAAATGTGTTGTGAGGGACCTTATTGCTCTGGACCAGGCAGTCTGATAAACAGCTTGGTTTACCCCTTTTTGACCTGTCACAGCTTCTGAAATAGAGTTCGCATGCTGTAACTTTGCCCATTTCCTGCAATTCCATGCTGGTCAGTGTGGCATGGGGCTGCACGGCTGCCACCGTGTGTTGTCTCAGTGCTGTTCTGTGTGGTGAGAATGAGCATCGCACACAAGAGCACTGTACCGAGTAGCAGTTGCCACTTTTCAGCCTCAGACCCTTCCAGGTCTTTGCTGACACTAACTCTATCCCAGACATTTTGTGTAAGTGCAGGCATAATATGCTTCTAGGTCCAGGCTCTGCGTTTTGAAAGGTTTGGTCTGTCCTCTGTGTCACTCAAGGCATTGAAAGTATGCTAGTAAGAACAGTGTAGCCATCCTTACGTAACGAAACAAGCTAGACATCTTCACCTTGCCTTGATTTCCGTATCTGCAGTCTGAGGGGAAATTCGGGTGAGGGAGCAACTCTGCCTCTTACCGGGACAACGGTGATATTTGTGTTGCAGATTGTGAAGTTCTCTCAGGCAAAACTGTTCCCGAGCAGGCACAGCTGGGTCCCAGCAACTTGGGGCTGTTCCCTGTCACCAGACATGACAGACTTGAGGGAGCTGTGGTATTTCTTACGTAGCAAAAGCCAACTGCCTTCCCCAGTGTCCCCTAATGGCTACAGTTTGTCCTCAGCCTGGCACAGGACCGCCTGGTGTGCCAGGTTCTCAGCTGTCCAATAGTGAAGTAACCCTTGGCCAGGGTTCCTGGATGATCAGTGGGGGAGGGGAAAGCTGTGGACACAGGTAAAGAAGAACCTCTGAGGGCCTCTGCAGGTGAGACACTTGGATGTCCTTTCCCTGGTGTGACTGCCCGGGTTAGTGTCTGCCAGCCCCTGGGCATTGTTGGGAAAGCACTCTTCCTTAAGGTCCTGGCCTTGTTAGCCAGGGCAGGAGAAGCTCCATGCTTCCGTCCTCCCTCGTCTGAGGAGTTCCTATAGACTTAGAGATTTTGACTCCGGTCAACAGGGGCTCACAGCTTTGACACTAAAAAGAGTGAGCACTAGCCCGTTTAGTCAAGCAGGCTTGGTGGTTTTATTAAAGACATTTTAATATAGGGTTAAGAAAAAAAGCATTTGCTCAGAAGAAAGGCACACCCTAGTGGGTGAGGTGTATTCCTGAGATAGTAGGGAAAGTAAGATGAGCTCACGTGTATGGCTTCTCTTGAGAGGAAGCTGTTGTCATCACATTAGCATATATGTCTTCTGGAGACTCAAAAGTTGCTAAGAAGGGGAGGAGGGAGGGGCTTATGGGGGATACAAAGTGAGTAAAGTGTAATTAATAAAATAAAATTAAATTAAATTAAAAAAATAGTTGCTAAGAAACCTCTCTACTCTGGGTAGGAGCCATACAAGGGGTGTCTCCGGAGATACCTTGGATGGAGTCATCGTCTGATAAGCTAAAACCAGGTTTCCACCCTCCTCCATGGGGGAGGGTGTTGGGATAGGTCCCCTCCCTCTAGATGGGATTTCGGCTGAGGTTCCTGGTAATGAGGCTGGTGGATGGAAAGAGAGAAGGGCCCAAGTGGTTGTAAATTGTACTGCAATTCTAGCTTCTCTGATGCAAGAAGCTTCCACCAGATTCCAGAGCCAAGAGCTCCTCGCGTCCCCGAGATTTCCCTGCCTTTCTCTGCTGCCTCTGGAGTGTCCTCTTGGCCTGCTCCTCATTCCCTCTTGTCAGTAGGGTTTCCAGTGTAGTTTCGTGGTGCTGCCACCCAGGCCTCCATCTTTTCTACATCTTCCCTGTGTTCCTGGTGTATGGACAAAGTTCTTCGGGGTTCTGAGAGCGACTCTTCATTTTCTTCCGTTTTGCTCAATCCTTCACACAGCAGACAGGCTGGTTTGATGGGGTTTTTTATTTTTATTTTTTGTTTTTTGTTTTGTTTTCATGTCCTCTATGCACTGGTACTCTCCCTTTATAACACACTTTTCATATGCGTTGGTAAGATGCTTCCACCTCCTTTTGTTGGACACCCTGTTCTGTGACTGATAATAAGATCAGCAGTCTGGAGGTGTTTAATTTTTAGTTAAATCTTATGTTATGTGTAAGGTCATTTATTTTGCCTCTGTACCATGTGTATGCAGTGCCTACAGAGGGCTGAAGAGGGTGTCAGATCCCCTGGGACTGGAGTTACAGATGGTCATAAATCACCAAGTGGGTGCTGGGAATTGAACCCAGGTCCTCAGCAAGAGCAAGCAGTGCTCTTAGCCTCTGACCCATCCCTCCAGCCCCGGTTATGTGTATATGTTTTAAACTCTTTTGTGTCCTCATTCGATTCCCACTTGTTCTATTGGTTATTGAGAGGAGTCTAAACAATAGTATGGCAGCAACTGTCAACTTGATGGGGTCTAGAGTCTCTGTACATCCCTGTGGGGAATTTTCTAGATTCGGTTCACTAAAGTGGCACCGTTGCTACCTTTCCTGCTGCTGTAAGAAAGCACAGGCAAGAAGCAGAAGCAGCTTAGAGGCAAGAGGGTTCATTCTGCCTCACGGGTTGAGGATATAATCCACAGGAGCCCAGGGAACCTGGCATCATAAGCTTGAGGCAGGAGGACCCAACGCGTGTGCAGTCAGGAAGCATGAACAGTGTGATGGTGTTCTGCTCGCTCGTTCCTTTTCATTCAGGCCAGACCCCAGCCATGGTGTGATGCTGCCCACGTCCAGGTGGACCTTCCCACCTCAGGGACCCTCATCTAGAAAGCCTTCCCAGATGCTCAGAGAAGACTCCAACAAACAGGACACAAGCATGCACTGCAGATGCCGTCTGTCCTTCCTCTCATGAACCACCTTCTACTCTCCTCCCTTGCTGCTCTGCTTAGGCTTTTGTTCAGGGGATGGCGTGGCTGGCTTGACCTAGAGGGACCACTGCACTGTTCTTTGTGTCTAGTGTTCACTGGAGCAGCACTTCTCAGTTCTTCCAGGAATCTCTTGGCAGTCACAACTTGGCAAATTGTTTTGCAGATGAGGCCTAGCTTTTAGCCCATCTCATTTTCTAGTGTTCCTTCTTCCATAAAGCTAGTCATCTCCAGCTCCCCCCGACCTTTTTCTTTTTACAGAACACTTACAGGCCACCGTAGGTTATTAACTAGCCTAATTACTTTGTCTCTGTGTGTGTCTGAGGACTGAGAGGGTTAGGACATAATCGCAGACGTTGACCTCAGTCGGTTCCTCCATTTCTCTCCACATACTTTTTGAGGCAGTGGCTCTAACTGAACCTGGAAGCTCACTGACTTGACTAGACCAGCTGGACAGCAAACCCCAGGATCCCATGTCTCCAGCCTGTTTTTTGTGTGTGCGTTCTGAGGATCTGCATTGAGGTCCTCAGGCTTCCACAGCACGCACTTACGGTTGAACCATCTCCTGAACCTCTGTGGTAGTTGGGATTTCTATTGCTGTGGTAAAACACCATGGCCAAGAATAAGTTAGGGAGGAGACTCATGCCACCTGATCCAGGGAAGTCGGGGAAGAGCTCAAGGCAGGAACCTGCAGGCAGGAACTAAAGCTGAGGACGCGGAGGGGTGCCACTTACCGGTTTCCTCCTCAGCTTGCTTTCTTATCCACAAAGCAGCACGGCCCAGGGGTGGCCCCACCCATGATGGACTGAGCCCTTCCACATCACCGATCAAGAAAATTCACCACAGGCTTGCCCACAGGCCAATCTGGGGGGGGGGGGGATTCCCTTTTCTAATGGGATCTTGCTTGTGTCAAGTTGAGCTAAAACGAGAGGACACCACCTGTAATTAGCCTAATTTCAATCTTGTTGGGATTTACCCCAAACGGAAACCTGAGAGTGACAGAATGGCTGGTTTATGGAGTAGTCAGAATCCACACATTTATCATTTAGGTTTTCTATCATGTAGGCGTGGATTACGGTGCCTACAAATAGTTACGACAGTGACATCAAGGATGCATTTTGATTACAGGTAGTTTGGAATGTGAGAATTCCCCAAGCGTGGTGCAGAGATGTGACATGAGGACACAACACTGAGTAAATGATGCTGATAGAGGGGACGTGGGCACTAAGTCCCACCCCTTGACAAGGGGCTATGAAGTGAACGTTTCTGGGGTGTGTGTTTGTTTGTTTGTGTGTTTGTTTGTTTGTTTGTTTTTGAAACTCAGTAAAAGGCAAGGGACGTTTGTCATCTGGAAACTACCTCCTGCGAGGGACATGGCTTTTGTGAGCTGGAAAACATCCTCATTTGGACTGAGAAGGGAAAACTAGAAGCCCATAGACAGTGAGACAGCGCTTTTTGCATCTCTATGTTTTGCATCGCTTTGCTGGTTTTCTCGGAGAGAAATGCTCCATAGAATTTTTCTTGGTGCTTTGGTGGAGTTTTGCTGCTTTGGTGGATTTGTGCCATTTGGGTGGAGTCTGGCTGCTTCTACTGAATTGTTCTGCTGCTGGTGTGTGCTGATGCAGCTACTTTGCTGTTTAGCTGGGCTGCTGGTATCTTGACGACAGTTTGGTAATCCCCAAAGAACCCATCAACCCTTATCAACAGGATGTAGCTCAAAGAGGTCTACAGTTCCTTTTCCTACTAATCTCCTACTTATGGTTGGGGGATTGGAAGTGAGGTAGATGCGTTTAAGAACCTTAAATAAAGTAGGTGTTTG